TTGCCTTACTATACTGCGTTCTTTTTTATTACTTTTTATGCCTTACTATACTATGACGTTTTTATTACTTTTTTTGCCTTACTATACTATGATGTTTTGGTGACTTTTTTGTCTTACTATTCTATGGCGTTTTTAAGCCTTACTATACTATGATGTTTTTATGACTTTTTTTGCCTTACTATACTATGATGTTTTGGTGACTTTTTTGTCTTACTATTCTATGGCGTTTTTAAGCCTTACTATACTATGATGTTTTTATGACTTTTTTTGCCTTACTATACTATGATGTTTTGGTGACTTTTTTGTCTTACTATTCTATGGCGTTTTTAAGCCTTACTATACTATGATGTTTTTATGACTTTTTTTGCCTTACTATACTATGATGTTTTGGTGACTTTTTTGTCTTACTATTCTATGGCGTTTTTAAGCCTTACTATACTATGATGTTTTTATGACTTTTTTTGCCTTACTATACTATGATGTTTTGGTGACTTTTTTGTCTTACTATTCTATGGCGTTTTTAAGCCTTACTATACTATGATGTTTTTATGACTTTTTTTGCCTTACTATACTATGATGTTTTGGTGACTTTTTTGTCTTACTATTCTATGGCGTTTTTAAGCCTTACTATACTATGATGTTTTTATGACTTTTTTTGCCTTACTATACTATGATGTTTTGGTGACTTTTTTGTCTTACTATTCTATGGCGTTTTTAAGCCTTACTATACTATGATGTTTTTATGACTTTTTTTGCCTTACTATACTATGATGTTTTGGTGACTTTTTTGTCTTACTATTCTATGGCGTTTTTAAGCCTTACTATACTATGATGTTTTTATGACTTTTTTTGCCTTACTATACTATGATGTTTGTTGACATTTTTTGCCTTACTATACTTTGATATTTTTATGACTCTTTTTGCCTTACTATACTATGACGTTTTTATGCCTTACTATACTATGATGTTTTTATGACTTTTTTTGCCTTACTATACTATGACGTTTTTATGCCTTACTATACTATGATGTTTTTATGACTTTTTTTGCCTTACTATACTATGACGTTTTTATGCCTTACTATACTATGATGTTTTTATGACTTTTTTTGCCTTACTATACTATGACGTTTTTATGCCTTACTATACTATGATGTTTTTATGACTTTTTTTGCCTTACTATACTATGACGTTTTTATGCCTTACTATACTATGATGTTTTTATGACTTTTTTTGCCTTACTATACTATGACGTTTTTATGCCTTACTATACTATGATGTTTTTATGACTTTTTTTGCCTTACTATACTATGACGTTTTTATGCCTTACTATACTATGATGTTTTTATGACTTTTTTTGCCTTACTATACTATGACGTTTTTATGCCTTACTATACTATGATGTTTTTATGACTTTTTTTGCCTTACTATACTATGACGTTTTTATGCCTTACTATACTATGATGTTTTTATGACTTTTTTTGCCTTACTATACTATGACGTTTTTATGCCTTACTATACTATGATGTTTTTATGACTTTTTTTGCCTTACTATACTATGACGTTTTTATGCCTTACTATACTATGATGTTTTTATGACTTTTTTTGCCTTACTATACTATGACGTTTTTATGCCTTACTATACTATGATGTTTTTATGACTTTTTTTGCCTTACTATACTATGACGTTTTTATGCCTTACTATACTATGATGTTTTTATGACTTTTTTTGCCTTACTATACTATGACGTTTTTATGCCTTACTATACTATGATGTTTTTATGACTTTTTTTGCCTTACTATACTATGACGTTTTTATGCCTTACTATACTATGATGTTTTTATGACTTTTTTTGCCTTACTATACTATGACGTTTTTATGCCTTACTATACTATGATGTTTTTATGACTTTTTTTGCCTTACTATACTATGACGTTTTTATGCCTTACTATACTATGATGTTTTTATGACTTTTTTTGCCTTACTATACTATGACGTTTTTATGCCTTACTATACTATGATGTTTTTATGACTTTTTTTGCCTTACTATACTATGACGTTTTTATGCCTTACTATACTATGATGTTTTTATGACTTTTTTTGCCTTACTATACTATGACGTTTTTATGCCTTACTATACTATGATGTTTTTATGACTTTTTTTGCCTTACTATACTATGACGTTTTTATGCCTTACTATACTATGATGTTTTTATGACTTTTTTTGCCTTACTATACTATGACGTTTTTATGCCTTACTATACTATGATGTTTTTATGACTTTTTTTGCCTTACTATACTATGACGTTTTTATGCCTTACTATACTATGATGTTTTTATGACTTTTTTTGCCTTACTATACTATGACGTTTTTATGCCTTACTATACTATGATGTTTTTATGACTTTTTTTGCCTTACTATACTATGACGTTTTTATGCCTTACTATACTATGATGTTTTTATGACTTTTTTTGCCTTACTATACTATGACGTTTTTATGCCTTACTATACTATGATGTTTTTATGACTTTTTTTGCCTTACTATACTATGACGTTTTTATGCCTTACTATACTATGATGTTTTTATGACTTTTTTTGCCTTACTATACTATGACGTTTTTATGCCTTACTATACTATGATGTTTTTATGACTTTTTTTGCCTTACTATACTATGACGTTTTTATGCCTTACTATACTATGATGTTTTTATGACTTTTTTTGCCTTACTATACTATGACGTTTTTATGCCTTACTATACTATGATGTTTTTATGACTTTTTTTGCCTTACTATACTATGACGTTTTTATGACTTTTTTTGCCTTACTATACTATGTTGTTTTTATGACTTTTTTTGCCTTACTATAATATGATGTTTTTATAACTTTTTTTGCCTTAATATACTATGTTGTTTTTATGACTTTTGTTGCCTTACTATACTATGTTGTTTTTATGACTTTTTTTGCCTTACTATACTATGATGTTTTCTTGCCTTACTATACTATGATGTTTTTATGACTTTTTTTGCCTTACTATACTATGATGTTTTTTGACATTTTTTGCCTTACTTTTCTTTTATGTTTTTCANCTTACTATACTTTGATGTTTTTATGACTCTTTTTGCCTTACTATACTATGACGTTTTCATGCCTTACTATACTATGATGTTTTTATGACTTTTTTTGCCTTACTATACTACATTGTTTTTATGACTTTTTATGCCCTACTATAGTATGACGTTTTCATGCCTTACTATAATATGTCGTTTTTATTAATTTTTTTGCCTTACTATACTACATTGTTTTTATTACTTTTTTTGCCTTACTATACTACGTTGTTTTTATGACTTTTTATGCCTTACTATACTATGACATTTTCATGCCTTACTATACTATGACGTTTTTATTACTTTTTTTCCCTTACTATACTATGTTATTTTTATGACTTTTTAGGCCTTACTATACTATGATGTTTTCATGCATTACTATACTATGTTATTTTTATGACTTTTTTTGCCTTACTGTACTATGACATTTTCATGCCTTACTGTACTATGATGTTTTCTTGCCTTACTATACTATGATGTTTTTATGACTTTTTTGCCTTACTATACTTTGATGTTTTTATGACTCTTTTTGCCTTACTATACTATGACGTTTTCATGCCTTACTATACTATGATGTTTTTATTACTTTTTTTGCCTTACTATACTACATTGTTTTTATGACTTTCCTTACTATACTATGACGTTTTCATGCCTTACTATACTATGATGTTTTTATTACTTTTTTTGCCTTACTATACTACATTGTTTTTATGACTTTTTATGCCTTACTATACTATGACGTTTTCATGCCTTACTATAATATGCCGTTTTTATTAATTTTTTTGCCTTACTATACTATGTTGTTTTTATCAATTTTCATGCCTTACTATACTATGTCGTTTTCATGCCTTACTATAATATGTCGTTTTCATGCCTTACTATACTATGATGTTTTCATGCATTACTATCCTATGTTATTTTTATGACTTTTTTTGCCTTACTATCCTATGTCGTTTTTATAGCTTTTTTTTGCCTTACTATACTATGCCGTTTTTATAGCTTTTTTTTGCCTTACTATACTATGCCGTTTTTATAGCTTTTTTTTGCCTTACTATACTATGCCGTTTTTATAGCTTTTTTTTGCCTTACTATACTATGCCGTTTTTATAGCTTTTTTTTGCCTTACTATACTATGCCGTTTTTATAGCTTTTTTTTGCCTTACTATACTATGCCGTTTTTATAGCTTTTTTTTGCCTTACTATACTATGAAGTTTTCATGCCTTACTATACTATGATGTTTTCATGCATTACTATACTATGTTATTTTTATGACTTTTTAGGCCTTACTATACTATGATGTTTTCATGCATTACTATACTATGTTATTTTTATGACTTTTTTTGCCTTACTATACTATGTCGTTTTTATAGCTTTTTTTTGCCTTACTATACTATGAAGTTTTCATGCCTTACTATACTATGTCGTTCTTATGACTTTTTTCTTTACTATACTCTGTCGTTTTTATGACATTTTTTCCCTTACTATACTATGACGTTTTCATGCCTTACTATACTGTCGTCTTTATTACTTTTTATGCCTTACTATACTATGTCGTTTTTATGACTTTTCATGCCTTACTATACTACCAATGTTGAGACCAAACCTACGCCCCTGCCTCAGCCTGTACTTGAGTAAATGTACTGAGTTACTTCTTTTCTCTGCAAACAGCTGTATGTTTCAATCATAAAAGCCAGACATGTGCTGACAAAGCAGGCCTGCACTCAACTTTTGGTTTTTAAAGGGAGAAACAGATAATATTAGCTTACATCTAATTATTATTATCTGCAGCAGCACTGATTTCAACAGGGGGATGTTTGCATAGCTGGATATGGACATAGTGTTATTTCACCGCTGAGAATTGACGACAGACATGTGAGTGTGTTTCATCAACTCACTCTGCTTCACACACGGAGTGACAGCAATGAAGGACATGAGGCCGCAGAGCCCCAGGTTGATCCACAGCAGGGCCTTGTTGAAGTGGCAGGCGATGGGGTGTGTGTAGTACTTGTACATGAAGGTGAAGGCCATGGTGGCGATGGTGTAGAAGAAGAGTGTGGCGCACATTACCGCCAGGTACCAACGCTTGTTTTCTGCCGCTCCAGTCAACCTGAGAGCAACAGGACAGAGGGCAGAGAGAAGGTTTCAGCTTCACATCCATCCTGCAGGTAATTATTCTCACTGGATGCTGCTGTTTGTCACAGTTTAACATCACAACAACCAGTCTGAATCTCACCATTAATCTCGGTCACAAATCAAGGTGCAATGGATTTATTTATGGTGCAAATCCACCATTTATTTAAAGGATTTCCTTGTTTTCATGTGAATTTCTGAGGTCACTTAAGTGAAATTTGCCACATGTATCAAATGTATCCATAGATATCCATAAAACAGAACTTTTTGGCCACTTGGGTAAGAAGTGGAAACAAGTGGTCGACAGAACATTAGCCTCTTATCATGTAGCAACACTATCATTCATTTGGAGTCGTGTTTGTGTTCACTTGATGAGTCTAAAGAGTAAGAAAAGTCACACATTTTCAAATCCAACACGCAGGGACTTCAATCTTAAATATCTTAAAAAGTATAGAATTGTAGAACTAAGAGAAGTTCCCCAGACAGTTTACGCACAAGATTTCAGATGCTTTTGCAAAGTGAGTCCAGTATTTTTCCTCATTGTCAGCGATCACAACATATGCGGTAAGAGTCAGAGCACACAATAGTGTGGTTGATGGAGAAGCTAACTTCTCAGAGAGGGTATTCTTCTCTTCTGACATGCAAACCCAGGAGGGAGAAACAATCAGGTGAATGAAAACCCCAGACTACTGTAAAGGGAATAAGAGGATTTCTAGTTTGTGTGCGTTCGCTTTGGAAAAGGTCCTGAATGAATAAATCCTCTTAGCTGTCTTAGCTACAGCTCTGCCATGTCACAGCGGAGTTCAGAGGTGGCTGAGAGAGAGTGATGGCACAACAGCAACAGCTGGACACAGTAAATAACATCTGGGACAAGCCGTCTGTCAGAGGACGTATCTTGTCTGAGCGAATGAGGACATGACAGAAGAGACACGGCAAGAGGCCAATGGAAAGAAAACACTGAGTGAAGTAAACACAGCAACGCATGAGCGGGTAAAATATGCAAACAAGCAAATAAAGAAACAAATGGAGCAGAGCGTGAGCTGAGGCAGAGCAGTGACTTACCTGCTTCATTCATCCCTCACCGGCTCATCAGCTCTGTGACAACCAGCTGACTACAAACATCCACAAACCACATCAGTGCAGGTTTACAGTGAGGCCATTAAACCTGAAGCGTCTCACAGTTACTGCTGAGACCTTCACACTGCCACAGCTCCCTCCAACATCCAACCTCCTCCCTATGTGTAGGGTTCTGGTATTGTTGACTTAAAAAAAAAAAGATTTCATTACAACTGCAACAATTAGTCGATTCATTGATTAGTGGCTCGACAGAAAATGTATCAGCAACTGTTTTGATAATCAAATGATTATTTGTCACTTTTTAGGAAAAAGTTTTTTTTTTCAGGATTTGAGCTTTGCTTTGTCCCAGATGATAACAAACTGAATATTTTGCTGTTCACCTGAGGACTGTAGTAAATGATACGAGGTGTTTTTCACTAATTCATAGCAGTTCATCAAGAAAACAATCAGATTAATTGATAATGAAAATAATCACTGGTTGCAGCCCTGATTGTGTAACCTGACCATTTGCTATAAATCATCAATGCTTTCACCCAAGTGTCAAACATTAAAACATAAATCAATAAGAATAAGAAAAAGTATCACCTGGTACTAAAGAGTAAAACCAAGCAAACAAAAAAATGTAAAATGTAAAAGAAACAAAGGAAGTAGTAGACCTCTGTCTGTCTGTCTGTCTGTCTGTCTGTCTGTCTGTCTGTCTGTCGCAGATGTTGGTGAGGTAAGTCTGTGATTTACACAGCTCTGCTGGGCAGAAGGTGAATCTATCATCACCAGTGTAGAACAGACTCTTTTATACAGATGTGAACCAACCAACATCTGTATGTGCATGTATGTACGAAGATGTGAGGGACCTTAAATAACATATTACTGCTGTCCTGTGAAAACCATGTATCTTCAAACTATCAGATTTTCATGTTAAGAAAATCGAGTGTGGTTTTATGTTCCTCTTTATGTTTTTATTCACTCATTTGAATGTTTTTTTGTGTTGTGTTTGTGTTTGTAGAAAAATGATCAGACTCAAATGAAAATTAGCGCAGTCATGTAATAGCCCTGGATGGGATATGTGTTGGGACTGGGAGCCATCAAAGTCAGAGACGATTCAAAACTAATACAGTTTTAATCTTATAACAGCTAAAAAACAATCAAGATTCTCACTGACAATGATCTCAGCATATGCGGTAACAAAGTGCAGACTGCAGTTATATACTTAATATATGATACAATATTTTATTCATTTGATGCTCTCACTCACCAGTTCTTGTTCCAGGTGTGTGCAAAAGCTGTGATGAGGATGAGTTGGATGAGGATGAAGGCAAATCCTCCCACCACACCAACATAATGCCAAGCTGGGAGAAGAAAAGGAGAGAAAGAGGAGCCATCAGACGTTGATTTACTTCAGGGAAATGAGAGAGAAAAAAGAAAGCTGTAAATCATAAATCAGCTATGATATCAGGAATGTATCAACATTGGATTTATTGTTGCTAAACAAAGTCAATTCAAGCTTCATAGATTTATGGTCCAATAATTCACAGCAGTCCACATGAAGGGTGTTTTCAGGAGCGGATCTCTGCTGCCCTCTAGCAGGATCACAGGGAGCTGCACCAACAACATCATCGCCATCAGCTCTTTATTCTCAGTAAGGTTTTATTTTCAGCCTCTGCTCAGTCTCTCACCATGCAGAAAGGACTCTGTTGGGATGAAGAAGGCAGCGGTGCACATCCCGAGCAGGGTGATGAACTTTAGGAACCAGAAGCTGCATGAGAGAGATGAACAGGAAAGGACAAAACAGGGGAACAGATACCAGTTAGTTTTCAAAGGTTAAACATTAAGACTTACTCATTGTCCTTTACATTTTTATTTGTTTTAACATTATGAAATTATACAAAAATACAAATTGTTGCTTCAGACATTATTTACCCAGGAAATAACATTTTGAAAAGAAGCAATCTGTGTCATGCTGGCCTATAATTTTAATATATTAATCATTTTACATTCATTATTAATCTCAGGCTTTCTCATTTTCTAGTTTAAAATACCAAGTGTGGCAAACTGGGAGAATTTAAAACTTCTTGAATAATTTTCTTTCCTCTATTCTCTTCAGTCCAAAGACCAGTGATTTTATTATTAAAGGATTACTAAGTTTGAATGCATTTTTCACTGTTCCACGAATCAATTGGCTTCCATTCATTTTTCAAATGATAAGAAAAACTAAACCTGTGCTGGATTACACAACTGCAGCAGGTTTCAACTTGAACAAACACAAACACATTCAAAACTCACAAAACAATTGGAAATGTAAAGTGAAGACCAAAAATGGTAAAAAGCTATTGTATGGTCTACATCAGGGGTGAACAGTTTGGTTCAACTGAGGGCCAGTTTATTCAGCGTGCTTCAATGGGGGCAACACGGGCACCATGGAGATGAAGCCCAGTGTGTTGTCAATGTTACTGTCACTGTAGTGAACAGCGATCTCTTCCGTCTGGTTGAATGAATCTACTGTTGTTATTGTTGCTTTTTTGAATTTCAGCTGCCGTGTCCATCAGACACCTGTTTGTGTTTCAGTCACAAATCATCAATTATATTTGTCTCTTTGGTCGGCCAAATATTTTTATCGGAGGGCCACACTTGGCCCAGGAGCCGCTATTTGCCCAACACTGGTCTGTATGGTTTGAAATCAGATTTTGTTGTGGCGTCTTTTTTGGTTATACTTTGAGTACTGAGACACACTGTAACTTACTTTTGACAGCACCAGGTTGGTGGTGCTGCACAGCTGCGACCCAGACTCTGTTGGAACCACTGTATGTTTCTGTCTGGGCTTTGTGGGTCTGTATTGAACTGTTCTGACTGAGCAGTATAAGGATCTGTGCAATAGCCATGTTTGGTTGTTTCCTTTAATTTTTCTACTTTATTTAACTTTGCTCACATGGACATTAAATTGTGAAAGCAAATTTTATCTCAACCTCCGTCCAGATAGAATCCATGTCCATCTGGACCTTCATGTGACTGTGTCTGGTCTTTATAACGACATCCAAGACTTCAGCAGGGCACTGGGTCACTCCCTGACCCCCCCTTCTGCAGACCACTTAGACCTGTAACCCTTCGCCAAAAACCCTGAAACCTTTCACCGTGGCACTGGTAAGACTCTTGTGAGTAGATTTATACCAGAGAGGAGCAGCAATCCAGTCTGTCAAATCCTAATCCGAGCGACGTCACCGCTCTAATCGAGTGCCCTGCTGTGGAAAGTGTGACAACAAAGAGCTTTATATAGAGCAGCAGGCTGGGTCAGGTGAGCAGAGTGAGAGACACTTTCTCCTTTGAGACTGTGGAGAAGTATTTTAAGGTGTGTGTACTTTAGGTCCATTCTGTCTTTCTTTTATATTGCCTGTCTGCAAGCAGGATCAATTAAAAAATTGGAGAGTTGATGATAATTTTATGATGTCAGGTTTGAATTTATGTCATTTAAAGGTCCCATATTGTATAAATGTAGTGCTTAGGTAGAAGCATGTGTTCTTTGATTATAAAGCAGGTCTAGCTTCTATATTAATACTGTGAAAGTATCAAAGCCTCAGTCCACAGAGAAATCCACACAGGCTGTATTCAGAAACTGAGCCTTAAAACGAGCCGTCAGGACTTCTGTAACTTTGTGATGTCACAACAAAGCAGTCACCACTCTGCAGCCCTGCCCACCTGGACCCACCATCCAACCTTACAGGATTTGGTTTCTCTGAGTGTTTACCTGAAATCTGCTATATTATTATTCATTTATTATTCTATCACTCAGAAAACAGTCAGCCAATCAGAAGAGAGACTCAGAGCCTCCTGTATTCTGATTGTCTCACCAACCTGCTGTTACTAGGGAAGCCTCAGAGAGGAGATGTAAAACTACATTGAGATGGTTTGTGGTTCTTAAAACCACAAATATATCTTCTTACGGCTCAACACTTGTGTAAAATATGTTGTGCTATGCTATGTTGTTATGCTGTCAGACTTCCTGGATTTCCAAGTCTAAAAATAAACAGTGTTGTTCATGAGTTATTTTGTCTGGAAATCAACCACGGATGAGATAAACCAGCATAAACTGTTTTGTAGCCTCCTGATCAATAACTTATTTAGTGTTGGCTGTTTTAATGATTTGTAATTACATCCATGATCCACACCAATCACAGCCTCTTGGTTCAGATTAAACATGTGTGAGGAGGTAAACTCTGCGGCACTGACCCGTTGTGTATGAGCGCTCTGAAGTCCTGACTGGACTTCACGTCTATGAGGAAGATCGCCATCATCAGGTAGAAACAAGAAGTGCCGAAGCAGACCCTGTAGACTGCTGAGTAGCCCACCAGCATCTCACAGTGGCCTCCGCCATGCGCCTGGTCACACACCATGTTGAAGAAAGGCACCTGAAACACACACACACACACACACACGTACACACCATCTTTAATCTGTCAGTGCCTCCATTTATCTGTGTGTCTGACCGGGTGAAGATTTCAGAAGATGCCAAAAATTACAGCTAATGGCTAAACTACTGTTCACCAAACCAGAGTTTAAAGGAGAAGGAGATGTTCTGTGGTTTTTCTTTTAGTGTAGAATCACCATGGCGACAGCGACAGGCTGCAGGTTCAGTGTTGTTGTTGTTTTGTTTTTTTAATGTGTGTCAAAAGAGAGTTTGCTTTGGGAGGCACCAGTGCTGCTGTTTACTTGATACTGTGATCTATTTTTTAAATGTGTGATGCACATGATCCTTTTTGCAACGTGAAACATTACGTCATTATAGATTATGTTCCCAGTAAAGACTGAAAGTCAACTGATCATCCACTTTGAATCATTTTCAGCTTAAAAGATAGTTTCACAAATTCTCAAGTCTGTCAGACGCCCGTATGAAGACTGAAAACCCCTTTTCATACTGGCAATTACAACATCTGCTCCTGACAAGCCTCCAGATTCACATCTATGTTAACACAAGTAAAGGTTACAGTAAGTTAAGTGTCAAATCTCTTATGCTGCTTCTATTTTATTCATTTTTGCCATCTGACTGAAATGAAATTTTTCTCTGTGAACTATCAAATGTGTTTCAAGTGTTTAACATCCTCTCTGTGTAATTGGCTGTTGTAGTTGTTCACCATCTTGGGATATAAAAGGACGGCAGAGCTGAACACTGAGGTCTCATCACCATTTCCTGCTCCCTGTTTTCTATAATTGTGTTTTTAATTGTGTTAACGGTGTCATTATACAGCTCTCTTGTTCTGTTGCCAGTTGTGTAACAGAGATTATTGGTTATATTTCAGTTGATTCCTTTGTATTAATGTTTTGTCATCTGATCTCCTGGAAGCTCCTCGGGGTGCGTGGCCATATTGATTGTCTTCTTTCTAATTTTGATCTGATTCACAAAATAAAATCATCTCCAGCGTGTATTCACAGCTCCTCGGGCAAAACAAATTAACCCAACAATAAGATCCAGCACTCACATTTTCCCTGACGAGCTCAGAGACGGTTCGGGACAGCATGAGGCAGGAGACGGCACAGCTCATGATGTGGAAGAGGGTGTACATGACCCGCGTGCTGGTGGAGGATTTGACCGGAGGACAAAAGGCACAGCAGAGCGAGCAAGGAGCCGGTCCACAGCAGCAGCATATCTGAGGAGGAGAGGACGGAGGCGGCAGCTCAGCATCCAAACAAAACGAGCAAACAAACACAAAAACACTCTAACGAAGAACATTTTCACTGATGGATGTTCTGCCTTTAAATCACATGAATATGATCCACACCCTGCTGACATCACGTATAAATACTATGCATGTGCATGTTGCAAAAAGTGAACAAACAGAGGCATCAATCATCTGACCGTCACTGAGCTCAGATGATTTGTCATTACTAGATATAAACTATATTTCTATTCCATTAAATGGGTAATAAATTAATGGAATACTAAATACCAAATGCATTTTACGAGGGTGTTTTAAACCATCGTGTCTGACTGAACAAAAGCTTTCTCTATAGCAAAATAAATCCAGCCCATACTAGGGCCACATGCTTGCTTTCCTCTGGCCCAGTATACGCCCATTTCCACCACCCGAATCTGGCCCAGATACGGCACGATTGTCAAATGGTACTTCCACATCTAGACCGATTCTAGCACACACACACACACACAGACCAGATGTATATGGGCCAGACTCGGGCCGAGGTCCCAGGCATATGTTGTTCATTTTACTATCTGGGTTATAATATACATTTTATAATGATGCTGATTGGTCTGACAGTGTTTTTCTTCATGTGACCAGTTACTAGAAACTACAGTTCTTTCTGGATCTTGACCTGGGCTGTATCCACAGTATTTCACTAAAAAGTTAGAATTTACAGAAACCTACTAAAAAGTAAAAGTTTAATTACAGAGGGGTCATGTTCATGTAAGTAGATGAGTAAGCAAATCTGCTCATAAGAAATTACTGTCTAACAATCTGTTACTCGAGAACAAACTGAGACCAGTGATCTGCACTGGACCAAAAGCGACTAAATCATGTTTTATGTTTCCAGACTGGACTCTCCGTCACAATCCTTAAACACTGTATGTGTCAGGTCAAACAGTCTGAAGACTTTTGGGAGGCACAGTATCAGATCGCCTGCACTGAGTGTTTGGCAGCGCGGTGCGGTTGGTGGCAGATTAATCTAATGAGTCCAGCAGCATCTGGCTGGTTCTGATTCTGACAAATCAGGGCTGTGGATAACTGGACATGAGCCCATCACTGCTGATCCTGAGCTAAATCTAAGGAGGCAAAACCTGCGTGCACATCTGTCTGATGCTTCAGCGAACTCAGCAGATTACAGTCTGGAGGTCTGTCTGCGTTTTCAGGGTCACAAGATGACGTGAGGGGAAGGAAAATATGGTTTCAGCTGTGTGTAAGTCTTTCTGTGTTTCTCTGTGAAAACACTCTGTGACTTTCTCAGATTTAGTCTCAAAAGTTAAAATCACTGTTGGACAAACGTGCAGCCTGTACCACACTGTATGGATGCAGTGGACCCAGATATATTATTACTCATCACGTGCAGATCATAATCTGATGGATAATGCAGAGAAGCTTATCCAACATCTTCTCTTTGAAGGGAAGACTGAATAAAAATAGAGCTTTAATCGTGTACAGTAAAATGATTTGACCCCGTAACAGATGAAACATGATTAAAAGGACAGTTTGTCCTGTTTTTTTTTCTTGTCTCCAACAGTGGAATCAAACAGTTATCAGAGAGAAATATTTAAATATACTGCTGCAATGCATCAGGTCTTTCAGCATCTTCTCAGAAAGGAACTGAAATTTGTTGTGTAGATTGACACTGTGACCTTTCCTGTGTCCATGGAAAGATTAACCTCTTCCAGGCTCCTGGGCCGCCTGGGGTCCTGGATTGACCCACCAGCAGGGTTGACCTCATGCTCAATCATTTCACCTTCTCATAACGTCATATTGAAATGTTTGCTTGAATGAGAATATTTACTGTTTGTTACTCACAGGTACCAGATTCGCTGCAAATTTCTAACATGCAATTAAATAAATTATGTAGATGGAAATTAACTTCATATTTCGTTATCTTTATATCTTATTGATTACATATTCAACATGTTCCTTTTGCATTTACTCCTCTTCTCTTGCCATTTTTACGATTTCTTCTACTTTTTTGTCCTCGTGTTTTATGATTTCATTTTTTTTTTTGCCTTTGCTGTGTATGTTTTCTCTGTTAGGCAGTTTTAGAAAGTCTTGTACAAATAGAGATGTATTATTTCTTATATTTATTTACCACTCTCACTCGCCATGGAGGGCTTAAAACACAACCTAAAACAAATGATTCATCATTTATACTTTCAATTAAAAATGCCACGAAAACGCCCAAATCTCCCATCTATAAACTGTGGCTCTATGCACACACTGAGATATACGTATTCAGTTCAGTGATATTGGTGCTGTGGTGCTTCAGCAAACACAGGGAAAATGCATAACCTTTATCGAGCCATCTCACAGACAGACAGATCGTCATAACCTCTGCACGTGTTTGTCTTCTGGCCTATGGTTGAATGTTTATCATACTGGTGGAGCTGTTGCAGTAAGTGAGTCTAAATCATACAGTGGGTTATATTAAGGTCAAACAGCAGTCAGTTAGGTCTGCTGTGAGTGTGGAGGAATAATCAATGAACAGAGCATCCTGCAGTGTCCGTGACACGGTCATAAATCAAGCGTTGCGCACACGACCTTGTCAAATCAGAACAATCGACTATTTACCACAAACCCAGAGCAGGACACAGAGGAGATGATTATGAGACCTCCTGTATCGTTCCAGGTATTCAGAGAGATAATCTGAGAGCTAATCCTGCATGAATCACATTCTTAATGCACCAGTGATCCAAATGTACCTGTCATCAGACACAGCAGCCCCCTTTTCATATTTCATATTCATATTCTTCATTTTTTTTTTGAATATTTCTACATCCATTATGTGACATACGTGTGTGTATGGTCCAAACATTCTCCATATTAGTACTGATATCGATACCTTGACTTCCATACTGATTCTGATTCTTTTCAATTCCAGTTTTATCAAATCCGTTTAAACAAAAAATTACAATACATATTACAGTACAAAAATAGTTTTACTTTAGTTGTATTTTTAAGCTCGGTCTCTTTACACACTCCAACATGTTCATGTTAATAAACAGCCAATCACCAGCATTAGATCTTGGATATGCAGGATTGTCTCACTGACGCTGATGAGATTTACTCATTTACGCCTTAGGAATCAATATTTGGTATCGAATGTCAAGATATTTTTTGATCCTCGATAGTATCAAACCAATTTGATATCACTATCAAAGTTCGATACCCAGCTCTACTGACTAACTGCTGTGGCTAACTACAAGACAATGGCAGATTGAATTTGCCTTCATTTCCCATGATTCTCGTGGCTCAGTTTCTTTAACGACATCTGGGAGGAGTGGGACCAGAAGGCACCTGGTGAGGTGAGACCAGGTGAGGTGTTTTTACTTCCTGTTTTACTTTTCTGATATATTGTATAACTGTCAAACAAACACATGTTAAACTTTCAAAAGTTTCTTGCTTTAAAGAAAACGTGTCAACAAACCCAAAACCAAAACCATCAATGAACCCGCTACCAACTAACAACAAGAGACGACATGAACAGTTTGACCTGACGATGGCGCTAGAGGAAAATTCAGAGGATTACCGAAGTTATTGCAGTTCATCCTGAGGGGAACATGAATGTCTGAACTAAAAGTAAAGGCAGTTCATCCAATAGTTGTTGAGATGTTTCACTCAAAAGTCAACCTCGTGGTGAAGCTAAAGACCGGGGATCGCTGAGGTCAGTAGGATTCATCTTCTGGGGAGCAGGAACGTCTGTACAAAACTTCATCTCTGTACATCACTAAAGAATCAGAAAAATTTCAATCTGGGGCGAAGCGGTGGGTCGACCGAAAAGCAAGTTTCCTCCTGTTTCAGTAACATTTGCTAAAAACTAATTTGCTTTAGGAAATCACTGAGACTTTCTGTCAGACAGTATTGAGATAAAAGTAAAGCCTGCACACTGACTCGAGGCCACCAAATGTATTCAAAAAGACAACGATGCCCTCCAGGTTAGATTCCTGTCAGGATGTAGGTAATTACACCTCTTCAATACAAGGAACATTTATGCTCTTGTCCACAGCGACTACAAATACGGTGCAATCAAAGCCACAGTCGAACAAAGTAAAGACTGTCAGAAAAAATGCCTCAATTCTCAGTTGATGTTCCACCTGACACAAGTGCCACAAAGCTCACAGGTGCATGAGGTAATACAGATCTCTCTCTCTCTCTCTCTCTCTCTCTCTCCCTCTCTAGTAAAGGTTAGTTTTTCGAGGCCAGAAAGGAACCAGCTGACTGACTGGTGTTTGGTTACTCGCTCCAGTGCTGAGGGAGCACATGGGAGAAAAGTCTGGATTGAGATTTCCCGCCTTGCAGTGACAGTAGTTTGACAGGCTACCGGTAGCGTGAGTATTATCAATTCACTTGATCAGTTCTCGATCATCCCCGTTTTTTTTTTTTTACTCCAACTAGCTTCACCGTGATCCAAAGTAACTGTGACTGGACTGGCAGCTGCCTGATCAGCAGCTCCAGATAACTGTCAATACAAGAGGAGCAACACCACAGACTAAAGCCTCTTGAATTCACACCATTCTGACACAACTTCAACAAAGAAATTCTGCACTTCTGAGAGGCAACATTTTCTGCTAAAGTAGACCGTGTGCTGACAGACAGAAATCAACCTTTGAGATAAATGTAGTGGTGGAACTTAATAACGAAGTACATGTACCACAGTACATTTTTTAGCCACTTGTACTTATTATTTTGCAGATTCTGATTAAACAACCAAATGTATGATTCAAATTTATCACTATTAATCACTATTAACATTAAACTGCTGCTTACTTGTTAATGCATTAGTGATAATAGTCAATGATATATGTAGTAATATAACACTTAAAGGCAGCATTAACCTTTGATACCTACAGGTAGGACATGTGCTTGTAACAGAGTATTTTACACTGCAGTATTGCCACTGGTATTTAAACAAGACACCAGTACTTGAATATCTTGACAGTGAAAAACCTTCAGACTCCAGCTGCAGTCGCTGCCTCCTGTGCTACTGCTCATCAGCTCTCACCTGATAGGCCACCATGTTGAGGAAGTAGTTGTAGATGCCGCTGCGGTTCATCCCCTGAGTGGCCGACATCGCGCCTCTAAACTGCTTTTCCTCGGCCACAGCAGTTCTACATTTGGCCATGAATTTCCAGCACAAACAGTTTTTCTCTCAGATGGCCTGCAAAGATGGCATCCTCACATCCTCACAGAGGCGAGAACACGACATCTAACAGTCCTGTTAGGAGATGGAAATGAAAAGTAAACCCACAACGCTCAATCCGGCAGGTTGTCCCTACACTCTCCTTATGCTGGATTAGCAGTAAATCTAGTCCAGCTGGGCTCCCTGCAGCCGAGAGCCTCAGCATGAGCGCCGGTTCAGCTACTCTCAGTCCAGCCTCGCAGGGGAATAAGTTGTTTTTTTGCCCATATCCTTCCTGCGTGCTTTGGCTCTGCGGCTGTGTTGGGTGCTGCCAGAAAAGAGGGAGAGGTGGTGGAGAATGCCCGGTGCCCTCCCCCCATCCTCCCCCTGTCCTACCCGGTCAGATTAGGCAAAGAGGGGAGGAGGGGGTGAGGAGGAGGAGGAGGAGGAGGAGGAGGAGGTCGACAGGGACCATGTGTCAGTCCCATCTGTCCCTCCCTTCCCTTCCCTTCCCCCCCTCAGCACTACACAAACTCCACAGTACAATGGTGATGTTTAATCCAGATTTAGAAAATTAAATAATTACCCCCGGTGTGATTTCTAGATGCTGATGCCCGACTCCTCACAGCCTGCAGCTGCAACTACTGACCCCCCCCCCAGACCTCGTCCGAGTCCGAGTCTGTGTGCCACTCACAGAAAGAGGCCACGTCCATAATCCTAACAAGTTATCATGACTGCATTACGACCCAGAAACACTGAACTGGGACGGACTGATCGCAGGCCTGTCTGTCATGGAATTCACAAAGGCAGGGGGCATTAGTAGATGTGCTCACAGCTTAACAACAAACAGGCCAATGGATGTTTGATGTTGGGGGGGGGCTCTAATGGAAGCCTGAAAGTAGAGTAGAGTAAAAACTTAGTTACAGTTAATATTTTAACTTTCATACATGATCTGTTAGAAATCTGGTTTTATAACCTTAGTTCCTTCAAAAGGCATTTTAACAAGATGTTTCCACCTGCAGCTTCGTCTGCGTTTGTCTCTGTGCTTCCATTTGTGGATCTCATTCTCATTGTTTGTTCACAGTTGTAAGTCTGACATCAGGAGGACTAGAGGACAAGAAGCTGCTCCTGCACAGAGCAACTTTTTATTCTACACACTGTAAAGACTTTGTTTTATTTAAAGAAAAATTAATAAATCCATCAACTGGTTTGTTAAAACCGAGGATATTTTTAAAGCTCAGATATCAGATAAGTAATTTATCATTTCCAGGCTTTTAAAGTTCCAGGTTAATCGTTGAAATGAATCCTCGAGATTCTTCAGTTTTTTAAATTTAGTGATAATCATTGTTTTGCAGTTAATGTCAGTGACACTGATTCACTTGTTGGTCAGAATCAGTGGTTAAAAAAGCTGAATGTATGTCAGTGACAAACAGTAGAAACACTGCAGTCTGTGTTGCACAGTAGCATTGAAATTAAACAATGTTAGTGTTGTGTGTGTGTGTGTGTGTGTGTGTGTGTGTGTGTGTGTGTGTGTGTGTGTATGTGTGTGTGTGAGCTGTTAAAAAGCGCTGAGTGCACGAGGAGAGAGTCAGATTAGATTTGGGTTAGTGTGCAGGGCGGAGCGCCGGGATAATCCCGTCGTTGTTCAGCCCTCTTCTCAGTCAGGATGACCTTCACTGGCCCAGACGGGACGTTAGCAGCTGCAGCTTGTTACAGTCTCTGAGCGGCTGCAGACAAGCTTCACTGAGCCAGAGGCTGTCTGAGCCAACAGCAATTTGTCACTGTGCTGCAGCTCACCTGGTAACACACATTATCCTACATAGGACTGTAATAAATGCTGTTTCCAGCAGATTCAATGATAAAGGATCAGTCTCAGTCTGATCTGTTGAATTTAGATTACCCGCTCCACACAACAATCAGCCCACTGCAGTAAACTGTGCTGCAAACAGCAAACAGCAAACATACCCATGCACCTGCAGGATTAGTTTCCAAACCTAACTGTACATTCTCACTGTTGACGCAAAAAAAACAACTGTGAACAAGCAGTACACAAACCTAAATACTCAGTTACAAATAAAAGTCCTGCACTCATCAAAATATACATAAAGTACCAAATGTAAAAATACTCAAGCACTCATTTGCAAAACAGCAAATTTAAGAATAATCTATATGACATTATTGGATTATGATTATGAATTACTGATGCATTCATGTGCTCATCACTTTAATGTTGCAGCTCGTAAAGAGAAGCAAATTTTAACCACTTCATGCGGCAGGGTAACTTAGTCTATATTAATATGTCATCATTTATTGTTGATTAGTTTTGTAAAAGTATAAATTAACATAAAAACTCAAGTGAAGTACAAGTCATTTTAAATTGTACTTCAATACAGTAGTTGAATAAATGTACTTAGGCCCATGTTAATGGCATGATTAACATATCTTATCAATCAACTTATCAATGGATAGTACAGGGTTTCTGTAGATAAACAACAGCTGTTCTGATGTTAATGGTCTGATCAGAAAATCAGGGTAAAAATATTTGTCACATTTGGCTGCTGTCAGGTTTTTCTCTGCAGCGTAACTGCTTTAGTAGAATGATTTGTTTTTAGACCTGGACCTGTTTACATGCATGTTGGAAAAAAGCAGCCAGTGCCAAAACCTTGTACTGTAATTCTTCAGAAGAGCCGCAGTCGGCGGTACAGATTCGCTTTCTAGGAAGTGAGCAACAAACAAGAAGTTAAATAAGAGGTTAGCTGTGGTTCAGACTCAGCTAAGAGGCTTGGACTTACAAACCCAGTGAACGAGGACTCTCTCAGAACCTGAGAGCAACAACATTTGAAAGATTATAAATCTGAAGTCTGAGAACACAAGGCCCTGCATGTGCACAGCAGAAACATCCCCAGTCTGTCACCTCGTAATTCATATTCATGTAACCAGCTGTCACAACCAAACTCTCACAACCTGTGTTCTGTCCGTGCTCTGTCGAGGGACGACAAGTCTGCAGTAACAATCTACACAGAGGTGTATGTGTATGTATGTCTGTCTAATAAACAGTCGCTAATGTATTAGCCACCAACAAAGGAGGGAAACGTGAGTCGGTCCACCACTCTGGTCCAGACTCCAGTCTCAAATGTCTCTACAACTACTCGAGGCATCATCATAAAGTTTGGGACGGGCGTTCATGGTCCCAGGAGGATGCATCTCAATGACTGTGGTGACTGACTTTTCATCCAGCACCACCATGAGGTTGACGTATGTGGTTTTAGGTGAGAGTCTCAACTATCGTGTGCTTTGTCGTGAATCAAACTTCATAATTTTGTCCAATACTTTCACTGATTCACAACATGGTGGAATTTAACAAAGTACCATTAAGTACTACATTGTGGGTAGTATTTCAGGGGGTGATATTGCAGTTTTCATTTAGTATTAGCTATCATTTTCTACTTTATATAGGCCTATATATTAATGTATATTTCCTTCACCTGAGGTAAACTAAGCTTGCTTCTTTTTTTTAAACAGATTTGTATTTACATTTTGGGTGTAACATGTTTCATTAACTGGAAAAAAAAGTATTTATGTATGTTTATCTGTAGCCTATAGCATATTCATAATGTATGTTATGATTACATAAGTCTTAATCATGTAACGTCATATGACAAGAATAAAAAGTTTTTTAAAATTCTGTTGTTAAAACAAACTGAAATAGAGATTTCAGGGCCAAGAACAGTCACTGTTTCACATAATATCTTTAATCTCGCTGTGGATTATTCCCTCCAACATGAGTGGGTGTAAACCAGCACTAAGTCCCTGTGATCAACACGTGTTGCTCTGAGCGGTCCAGGCCGCCGTGGCCCGGCATTCCTGGGGGCCCCTTTCACTCTCAGATAATTACTGCTGCCTTGTGGGAGAGGAGGAAGTGCCAAAGAGAACAAACAAAAGCAAATTAGCGGATGCAAATCTCCGCTTGAGCGAAAGCACTCAATCTATGGTTTCAATAGGCTTGCGCAATAACAGTTGGCTGAAATCCAGGCCTTGTTTACAAAAAAAAAGGACACAAAAAATTATCCATTCATTAATCCTCTAGGACTCTTCTTGAGCAAAACTATGGGGTAACGGTTTTTGACCAGCATTGTTTTTTTCACCTGTTTTAGTGGGTAAACAAAACATTGGGAGTTGTAGATGATTCACATGCAGCTGCAAGTAATAAGAACAATTCTCCTTCCCATAGAAACACAATGTACCCATTCATACATAGATGTGTCATGACTGAGTGCACAACCTGCTCACATAGTTCATAGTAGGACAGACTATTACTAGAGTTCAGATGTCACCTTCTCCACATTCTTAAATTGACAAATTAATGGCTGAAATTTAATGAAAATTTGAAAGATGCTTGAGTTTTTATTGATTTGACATGAAAATCAATGTTGAATATTAATATTTTGGTTGCAATTTTTTTTGTATCAATTGACTGGTTATTATATGAGTTCACACTACATGACCTACATGCTTTGGGTTTGAGGTACTTGTTCGAATTACAGGAAATCTTAATACTACAAACTACTGTAAAATTATTTTAGAATGATGGTTCCAAAGCTTTGTGGCTTGTGATCACTTAAAATGAACCAATGAGCATTGTGAACACTCATCACAGGTTATGGCTCCCAGTGCATCCACAAGTTCAGACCAGTTGAACGAAAGAGTGATTTTTCTTTCTTGGATTTGTGCTAATTGAAGAAGCCTGAAGAATGAAAAGTATCCAGTATTTCACAATAAAAAAGAAAAAATTTGAGAAAAGTCAAAAAAGATGAAGAATTTTCTGTGATGTATGTTATTGTTTCTAATCCCCTTGATCATCAGATCTATCTTGAGACCCCTTGGATTGGAAACCCACTGGTTTAAATTACTTTAAGCTTTAAAAACTCTGTCGCAACAGTTTGGGAAGGTCCCCACACACAAAGCCAGCTCTATTAAGAAATAATTTCCCCAGTTTGATGTGGAAGAACCCGACCTCATGCTCATCCAACACCTTTGAGATAAACTGGAATAAACCAACTGAGAGTCAGACCTTATCACCAGCATCTGACGCTGTTGTGGCTGAATGAGAGCAAATCTCTGCAGCAAGTTCAACATGAAGGCTGCAGCAGATTAACGTCCAACAATTGTATTATTTTTTTATTTCCTCCTTTATGCTGATGTTAAACATATTGACCTAACATGCAATTAAAATTGACTTGACATTTTTGTGTGATTGCCCTGAGAGCTACCCATCACGCTTTTATCACCTCACCATCTTGTACCTTCACCAGAAAACAACTGTTGCATCCAGCAGAGTCTCACCTGAGGCCGAAGCCAGTGTCCTGACATCACGTCCCTGAGGCCCGAGGCCCGAAGCCCGAGGCCCGAGGCCCGAGGCCCGAGGCCCGAGGCCCGAGGCGATGGAAGGCTCCACACAGTCAGACAGCCATCAGTCATAGAGCAGGATGAAGGGGTTGGTGTGATGACAACCACGTCCCTCTGGCCCCATTCCTGCGGCCGCCCATCACCACACACATCTCCTGAAGGATGAAACCAGAGACACCTGAGAGCACTGATTTGGTTTTCAGTCCTGCTC